AACGCGTCGCCTACAGTGATACCATTTAATCCTCTGTAATCGACAACTACACGCCATTTTTGTTGTCCAGATACATCTTGTTTTTAGGAACAATCCATAGGGGTGCAGACCAAGGTGAAATCGAAGGTTGTATAATACCTTGTCTCAACATTTTATCTATTTGATTATTTACTTCAGCTTTATGTATTTCCGGATATCTATAAGTTTTTGCGATTGGTTTTGATTAGTTAAATTAATTTCGTGTTTCATAGTTCGCGTACAAGTTAATTTATCGCCAGGTAGGTGAAAAATATCATTATATTCCGTACATAAATTTAAAATCTGTTCTTTTTCCTCAATATTTAAATGGTCTAGTCTAAGGTTTTGATTTAATAATTTATTTCTGCTAAATAAATCTGTTGAATTAGTAAAGATATTAAGAGTTTTAGCATTATTATTTAATGGTTCTAAATAAACTGAAAATGGTTTTAATTCGTATTCTGTTACTCTAGTGTTTAGAATTGTAGCAAAAGCTTTTTATTAGAATTGACCTTAGTAATAGCTTTTGATAAGTAAATACCCCTTTCGAGTTCTAGATTAGGTAATATTCCTTCGTTTAAATCAGAGTTTAATACATTAACTTCAATAACAGTTTCTGTTCTGGGCTTTAAAATAAGATAATTATTATTATAAGGATTAATATTCATTTTTTAGATGTAGCGGAAAAGGTAGCGAGTCAAGAGAAATAATTGCTTTTTTAAATCAATTTGGGCGTTTTGTGATTTAATAAAGTCGTATCCGATCAGACCGTCATAAGGGACGTTTGTTTTCTGATTAAGAATATGGAACTTTATTTTCAATGTATGATTCCTAATATTAAATGGAATTATAGTACTACCCGCCGTTAATACAGGAGAATCTGTACTTAAACCGTGTAAGGTTAATTTCTCGCTAGGAAAAAATTTAGTAATTTCAGGATTTAACTTATCTAATTTGATTAAAGATACACTAGCACCTGTATCTAATAAAAATCGAAATATTTTATCTTTATTATTAGAAAAATCAGACTTAAATTCTAAAAATATAGAGTTGTTATCGTCACTAAGAATTTTTAGTTTTCGAAGACCTGTAACATTTTGATCGATTCCTCCAGAGGGGTCTTCTCCGCCAGAGGAGCATGGGAGTTTAAAGATAGTTGATTATTTGTTACGGATCTAATATTCGATACTTCATTAGGTATTTGATTCTGATTCGATACCCTGTTAAAATTTTTATTTTGTATATCATTAGGATTTTTGTTTTTGTTAAATACATTGTAAGAATTTTTATATTGCAATTTCCTACATTCATCTATTGTATGTCCGTACTTTTTACAATATTTGCATTGTTTAATATTATTATGTTGACTATTTGAAGAAGGTTGATTAAATGTATGATTAAAATTATGATTATTAGATTTATTAGAATTGTTAACATGAACTCGGTAATTTCCATTAGATTGCGGATAATTTTTACAACAATTATTTGTAGAATGCGAATTGTTACGACATATTTTACAGTATTGGTTGCTTTTATTAGTTTTTAACATATTTAATATCCTTTCTTCACAGAGGGCAGCATTATGAGCCTCCTTAATGCAATTAAATCCTTTATATCTTAACATTTGTGAAATTTCTGGTTTAGAATGGTAAATGAATCTGTTTAAAGTTAATTCGCGTATTGTTTGAGTTTTACCCGGTAATTCGGCATCGTTTCGATAACTCTGCTGAGCAGAAGAAATCGTACGATGGTATAAAACTTCTAAACGTTGAAAGAAATCATCTACGGATTCATTAGAATTCTGTCTACAGTTATTTAGTTCTTCTATTAATTGGACATAATGTTTTCGCTCTTTATATAAATCTTTTAACTTTTGTCGTAAAATTTCCCAAGATTCAAAGCTTTGTGTTGTTAGTTGCTCTTTTGCTGTACCTGATATTCTTGATAATATAAAATATAATAGAGGCAATTTTTGATTTTGACTGGCTAACTCATTGGCACTATTACAATTTGCCAAAAATTGTCCTAATTCGTTTCTATCACCGCTAAATCCGAAAGGAATCAACTTACAAATAAAATCTAACGATAATGGATCAGTATTCGAATTGGTATTCATGATGAATTTTGTTAATAAATTTAGTTAAAAAAAATGATTAATAAAATTTTGTAAAGTACTTTTTAACGGAGTTAAAAAAAATACTAGTAAGTTATATAAAACGTTCGATACAAAATCTAAACAAATATACAAATTCCACTTACCAACGGTATTCTCCTGGACCAGTTTCCTGTTTTTCCTCCTTGAGAATCCTTTTGTCCCGTACTATCCCGTCCTGTCCGCAGCGCCAATTTTTGTTGTGGTCCTCTTCAGAAGGGCCAACTTGTTGAGGGTCTTTTCGGGTGTGGAATTAATGTACACTGTTGTTTTTTAATATAACTTAACTTTAATTATGATAAACTAATTACAATAGTTACTCTGAGGGAAACTGTGAAAAATAATAACGTGTTGAAGAGTAAAAAGAGAGTTGAAGAGCAAGAGTGTTGAGCAAAAGAAGTATGTGACTGAAACAGGGTTTTAGCAAAAGAGATTCGAGGGCCTGTCTTGCAGTTCCTTAAATAATATCTAAGCTACAGAAATGCCAGAGGCGTACAGTACAATTTTTATATCCTTAATCTAATATTCAGAGCAGTGGACGACACTGCCCTAAACTTACATTGTTCAGATAGACAGACGTCTGCGAAAGCTATATAAATTTATGATCAAAATTCCCAACAGTAATAGTTAAAGTTATCAATTAGAATTATATTGTAGGGTCGTTTATGACCTCAAAGGTATGAAGGTTTTTATTAGAGATGGGACATTCCTAAACTAATATTACAAATTTGATTAAAATGAGGACGGGATTATAACAGTACATTTTTAGACAACTTCTTTATTTTTAAGATTTTGATGGTCAAACATCAACAATTTATTCCCTATGTTTGGACTAAATTTTCTCGAGAATAAAGCCATAATTCAAACTTCACATATTGAATTGAATTCAATTCAATACGGAAATAGATTGAAGTTTTGTGATTACAGTGATATATAATGTATATGGTTTTGTAACAAATTGCTCGCTATTTTATGGCAAATGCTGAAGCTCTGTAAATATTAATCAAGCCTTAATCAAAGCATGTATGTTTGGAATTTTAGGTGTGACTTAACACGACAGGATCGGGCTAAGCTTTAGGCAGATTTCTGAAATATAATATATGTATATTTCCTTGGGCCACACACTCGCCTTACCCGACCCCTGAGAGCGACCCGAAAATACAGCGTAATAAACTCTTAATGTAAAAAAATTTATTTGATTTTTAAATATTAAAAATAAAGTAAGCCGGAAACAAAGAACTAACTTTTAATACAAAGCAAACAGAAACATAAGAACTTTTTTTGACCTTTAATAAACTAAAACACTCATTCGTGTAAGCACCGGCAAAGAGAAAAACAATCGCGGAAAATGTATCCACCCACACACACTAGTGCACACAATAAAAAACCAGTAATAAAGAAAAGACAAATAAAACTCATTCTAGACCGACCTTCAATGCAGACCAGGCCAGAGTACCGATAATTACTAATATCATTATCGGAAAATTTCATGTATATGCCTATTTATTACTCCTATTTTTTAATGAATATTACTGAATCTGTGGTAAAAAACATATAAAGTGTATTAATACTTTCCAACGAAGTTCCAGTTTTGCAACACATAGTATATTAAATAGTCATACAATTAATGGGGAGATTTTTTTTGGCGTTTCCTGTTGTCTCGTTCAATTTTGTTTCGTTTTGAGCTATTTCCAAAACGTGGCGGTATCTGTACCCGAGGCAAAACACTTTTTTCATAAATCTCAGTGAAATAAGTAAACTTAGACGTTTCTAAAATTGCTGTTGTTACGATGATATTTCGTTAATTACATCTTTTATGTTTATATATACTACACAAAATTATATTTAAACACGCGTTCATAGTAAAGTAAATATTTAAGAACAAAACTATTCACTTAATCTGCAGGAAAATAGATGCAACATGTTTATTATTTAATTGTATTATAATTAATTAGTATATAAAATTGTATGTTATGTTTGTTTACGCGGCCTTAATTGATTAATAACAGTAGTATTACTTGATGAGTATACTGGCAACATCATCAATATATCGAGCTGATTGGGGAAATTATTGATTGACCCGATGTCAATAAAATATACTTCAACATATAATAATAACATGGTTTGATATAAGTCCATTCAAAAATAAGAAATAATTAGACGAATTTTGATACATGGTTTTTTACTATATTGTAATTAATAATGTTATACAATGATTAAAACTAAACATTCTTGTGTAACCTTGGAGGAATAGCCAATTTAATTTACCATCGGCAACTGTTTTCTAAATGCACTGTTTTTGATTTTTCATATCAGTTTAATATAGTGATATTACATTACACTTCATTACAGATTTATGATATTTATTGGTACTCCATCTTTACTTATTTTTCTGGAGCCACCACAACGTTTGATCTTGATTACTTCTTGCTATTTCACAAAATAGTACGATAAATAATAGTACTAATAAATAATAGTAATAATAGTACGATAAAAGTACGCCCATGTAATAAAAATTATTTCCTACGTTTCCTGAAATAGATCGATACGCGCCGTGATTGGTTGTTTGTTTTTTATTGCTAATCCAGACCAATCACGGCGCATCTCGATCTGTTTCGGGAAACGTGGGAACTAATTTTTATAACACGGGCATATATTTGGATTTACTTCTGAAAGTATTTCTAGAAATATTTTGCGAAATGTTTCACGAAATATTTTTAGAAATATTTCGTAAAACATTTCGGGCATAGTGTAGAGTGTAGAGGCTGTTAAACATGAAACATCTAAAAGCGCGGTTTATCAAAATAATATTTTTTTTTGTTATTTTCAGATAATGGAAATGGATTGTTCGCGGACACTGAGCCGGCTCTGGTTCACTGCTGGCTAAAATAAAAGACTATCGGTAAGTTTTTTTGTCTTCCTTAAAATAAGACTATAGTTAATTTTATCGAAAATAGGGTGCAAGTATTTAAATAAACCTGATTTAAATCAATATTTAAATTATGATTTAAATCAACGGATTATATTCCTATAACAATTATATCCTTCTAAAAATAAAAAGTTACACTTGTAACGTTTAAATACTTTTAATAAATCGAAAAATGATAGTAAAAGATATAACAATGTCAGGAAATAAATGTATGTGGCAACTTGACATTTTTTTACAGCAGAGCTACCACCTGAATCCCCAGCGGGAAATTTAAATACCTGTTTGGTTTGGTTTGTGATTTTAGAGAATTAATTTCGTATGAATCCAGACTTCTAAACGGCAGATTTATTTTGAAATCGTGAAATGACAGAAATCCGGTATTCGAATATTCGAATACATTTGATTGGCAGACTAATGCTGAACTAGTTTTTTTCTGATGTTTTATATCTTTTTTGAAAAAGCCCTATGTTGATCAAGCTAAATTCTGCCTTCTCCAGTTTATCTTTCCAGATTTCTACCGCATAATTTCTACCGACATTTTGTTCTGCAGTAAGTATTTTGCACTTCGAACATTAGATGATATTATTTTTATTCTATTCAAAAACATCACACAAATCCGACAAATCTTTTAGTGTGTTTCTTCTAGTTTTTCTTATTATTCCGAACTTTTGTAATATTCTTTTTGGCTGGCGTATTCTCTAGGCTCGGCAATGCCTGTCTGTCAGACGAAAATTAATTTACAGCTCCGTAGCCAGTCGACGGCTGCTTTTATCTTAAGAGTTTCCAAGTGTGTAACTGGGCCAGGGTCCCTTTTGTGTGCCTGAAGAATTCCATGTTCGCTGGAGTTGCGATCAAGAAGACACAATAAGGCCTGAGTACCTACAAGTAAGATCGTATATGATTATTACAAAAAAGTACTTTCACTAAACATTATCTTTTAAGTAAGAATTTTACATAGAAAATTAAGTTAAAGCGTTAGGACTTTACGCTGCTATGACGTTGGAGCCCTAGTAAGGCAAGAATAATCCTAGTCAAGTTTTTTTTTTATTTTTACATATTTATTATTGATTAATACAATTTTCAGTAATGTGTTTCTTCATTTTTTTTTTAAATTATTTATACGCGCATTCAAAATTTCAGCTAAATCGGAAAAAAAGTTTATAATAATATATTGTCTAATGTTGTATAGATAAGAATGGTACGGAACCCTTCGTGCGCGAGTCCGACTCTCACTTGACCAATTTTTTAGGTCTCGCAACACAATTCTTCCTCTATAAAAAGTTGTGAGAGATCTCATGTAAAACCAAGTCTGTTTATTTTATTTAGTCTCTCTTTAAGCACCTATTCAACAATTTTGTTATAAATTGTTAGTATCAATATTAGTCATCTTCATATCTGTAATAATTATAATGACTTGGCAATTGCACGATTTGATATTCTATTCTAATTAAAAAACTTTATTTTTAAGGCACTATTTAGATTTACTTAGTAATCGAGATGGTAGATTATTCTTTTATAATTATGGTGCTGGTGCAATGGGCTCTTTCACTATATTTTGGAATTAGCATAATTGAATAAAGCAATTAATTCTAGAATTTTCTGCTATCTCACTTTCGAAAAATTTGAAGTCGTTCTTAAGAAAATAAATAAAAACAAAAAAGCCCAGAATAAAAATCCGCACTTTATTTTTAATACGTCACACCTGGCATTTTGAAAAGCGGCAACACGGCCGCGGCCAGGCCACCATGCTGACCCTCCACCACCTCCACACCAGGCCATTCAACCTTTTCCAATATGGCGGAGATAGAAGTGCTTTATTTGGCGCGTATTTTAAAACCTGTTTTATTTCCAAATAGACATTTTTCACACAAATGTCGGGTTAGATTACGTAATATTTCACTAATTTTTTAATACACAGGGTGTCTAAAGTTCTCCACATAAGTATGGAATTTTTTGTATTATTACTTTTATGAAAACATCAGTTAGTTACTTTTTATAAAAAGGTCTGCTTTCTCAGAAAATAGGTAGTGTTAAAATATTCAAACTTAAGGTAGCATATATAGGGTGTTCAAAATCATCGGAAAAAAAATAACCAGAAATATATGACAGAAAATAGCAATATAAACTAAATATTCATTTGCAAACACTTACCATAGTTTAGAATTTACTGAACGTTTGATAAAAATATACTATTATGGACAGTATAGGAAGTTACTTGTCTTAGTAAAAGCCTTGGTAAATGCTCTTGGAATTATAAACTACACTGGCTTGTGTCAAAAAATATGGAATATTTTTTCTATGTTTTGCAGCATTACACAAATGGGAATAAACTTAAACTATAATAGGTGAGGATAAATAAAAAATATAATGTGTTTCAAGATTTTATATAGAAAAAAAACTAAATGCCTTTTTGGGGGTTCGTAAGTAAAACTTACGCTTAGCTTAGTTTTCTTTACTCTTTCTCTTTACATAGGGCATTGTCTTTGTGGTAAAGACGTCATTCCTTTTTTTTGCATAGTTCTTCAATAAAATATTGGATATTCTGAACAAGATATTTTCAAATGTCAATGTTGTCAATATCTTTCTGTGATCTTTTTGATGTAAAAAGCTTGATTCTTCTTCCAATATTTTACTTATAGTGAGGTAAGTGTAAGCAGTAGCCATAACTACATCCTCACTAGGGTAACAGAGGTTTTGGCCTTTGGCCTTTTCGAAGCATATTTAATGCACTTCTTACCCGAGAACTACTAGTAGGAGTGAAATTATCTCTTTTAATAGCTGTCAACCATTTTTTACGAAGCTCGTCATTTTTGGGGAATATAAAAGCAGAAACCTTTGGACCCCCTCTATAATTCCCGTGACGATTTGGAACAGAGCATGTAAAAGGCATGCTACAATAAAATGTTAATACCTAACCTTTAATACCTATCTTTTGATACTGTAAGTAACCATTATAATGTACTATGCAGACTGGCGGCGAAGGCTTTTTACTCATTTAGGTGTAATATCTTGATAAATACTTCTAGTTCTTACCTTAAAATAATTAATAATAGAGGAGTACGACAAGCACAAAAGTTTGAAATTCCCTATGTGGAATGTCTGGTTTGGATTTTTATTACACTATTATTTTATCACAATTTTCTGATCACACCATGCACTGAACACTAAGAACTAAACAAACGTGTTGCAGAAGCACAACAAACTAGAGATAATTAATTATTTCTGGTATGCAATCGGAAAGAGAAACCACTACCGGCTTTTCAGGTTAAAGGTAAACAATTTAATAATGCGCTGCCTTCGCCGCCATATTTGCCTTGCCCATATCATGTTGATAAGCCTTGAGTTGAGGTGGTGCTGGTCAAATCAAATCGCAATGTTGCCAGTTGTTGGCTGGTGCACGAGCACGGTTCTGCAATGTGATTGGGCGTATTTTTCATACGTCATCAATTGGCACTTTAAAATTATTTCAAATTAAAGCAATTTTGAGCGCCTATAAAAAAATTATTCAATGTCATGGAACTATTTTTTTTTGGATAAATATACTGAAAATAGTCTTCTATTTCAGATTTTGTCCTTGAATTGGGTATTTTATTTTTTGTGAAAGAGCCCATTGCCAAGTCATTATAATTCTTACAGAAATAAAGATAACTAATATTGATATTAACAATTTATAACAAAATTGTTGAATAGGTGCTTAAAGAGAGACTAAATAAAATAAACTGACTTTGGTTTTACATGAGATCTCACAACTTTTTATAGTAGAAAAATTGTGTTGCCAGACTTGGCATTTTTTTACATTCTATGTTTTTGATGGGATAACAATCTACATAATTACTTTTTATCGTACGGCTAGCGTGAATGAATGAATGAATCATTTTCGTTCCCCGTAAAACGTAGGGCGTATCGATTCGTCGACGCATCGGAGTCCCCATAGAGAGCCTGCCCTGCTGCTATAGGGGGGACTCGAGCCCCCTTTGCTGGAATCGGGGAAAAATCGATGGATGGTCGGCCGTTGGTGAAGGGGTGCCGGTGCACAAGACGGGGAGGACCCTGCTGTTCCATTTTCCCATACCTTCGAACGGGGGATCATCGTAGGGCCGTACTAGAGTTGGGCACTATCGAAATCTTTTTAATTCTGAAGGAAAAACGAATAGGGTGGGGGGATTTTCGTGTGCTTTGCAGAGTTTCTAGCTTATTAGTAGAGATACAAAGATGCTACACACAAATTTGTCATAGCCTCTTTGGTTTCTGAAATAGAGGGTATAATTTGAAAATGTTACATTTTTCCGTATCTTGGTTAAGTTATAATCAGGGTTGGGTAACGACGCGTAGTAAATTAATTTTCTAGTGTGTGTAGAAAAGTAAGTAGAAACTATAGAATATTTAAAATTTTAAGTAGAAAATGTATAAAAGCTGTGAACAGGTACAAAATAAATTTTGTATATTTAAAGGCGTTTTTCGTTTTTTTAGAGGTTCTATTTTCTTTAAATTCTATAAGTGTTAAAACTCTAATATGTATGCGCGCACTATCTGTCTATTCTGTGACGGTACTAACTCTACATTTGTTAAATAATAATTAACACTTAGGGATATCGTTATTAGTTTATTTCTTGTACTAATCGTTGTGATTGAAGCATTTGAAATAAGTATAACCTCAAAAAAGCTTACAATATACAAAACTAATTTTCTAAGTCTGAACATGTAAAAAATGTAGAAAATTAATTTCCTACGTGGAGAAAATACGGTAGAAAGTATACAATTTTCTACCTACCCAACCCTGGTTATAATTTATCGAAAGGGTGAAAGCCGAGTCCTGTAGAGTTTTATTATTTTTTATTTTATTCTACTTACTCTATACTTAATTTCACAATGTAAAAAAGAAAAAAATGGTGAAGTGCGAGTCGGACTCGCGCACGACGGGTTCCGTACCATTCATTATCTATACAACATTAGACACTATATTATTATAAACT